AGAATAAGATTTCATATTAGAGAAAATTTTCAGAAAAGATTATTATTGGCTTTACGTCGTAATTGTACTAAAATAGATAATGCATATTAACCCTTTCGTTACCAGTTACTCCCCTCCCATATCATTAACAACCAAATTTTCTACTTTCAAAGGAAGACGACGATGACGGCCGCCCACTCATCAGTATGGAGGTGAAGAAGCATGACAAGCCTGGCAGCCTGTCCCCCGTGAAGCTATCAGTGAAGAGAGACAGTGGGGACGAAGGCAAGTCCTCGAGGTCCAGCAGTAAGAGTGAGAAGGAGTTGAGGCTACCACCAGAGAAGTCGCCGAGTGAAGATGCTGCTCTAAGACGGGAAAGGAGACTCTCTAAGGCTAGTGATAGCTCTAAAGAGACTTTAGAAAGGTGAGTTGGAGGAAGCTATGATACTGATTGTAAACATTTCCTATTTAATCTTATACGTAGTTTATAATAAGTTGAATTTTACGTATTTTTTGGAATCGTCCGAGTACCACAAAAATTAATAAAATAATATTTAATAACCCTTTCTCAGTTTGTCTTTGCTTATTTGCTCTAATTTAATTATGAAAATATCAATCGAAATACAAAGAAAATCGAATTAATCCTAACATAATTATCTGAAGCATTTTATAAGAAAAATGCATCAGAACAAATACAAAGTTCATGTTCCATTTTGCATACTTATATGCGTCCGTAATAAAAACATACAAGTCAATAATAAACCTAAGAAGAAGGATTTTGTTTCACACACTTTATATATCCACTTTACGGTATCGTATCTTAGTTATGTTCCATATTTTGAATCAAATATGTAAGAACCAAACGCAAAACAAAATGAGTAACGAAATGGAATAGGCTCACCCCCTATTACATGGGACTCATAACATAAATAGTGAAAAGTGGGTGTTACATTGTACAGAGGTATAATGTGCACCTCTGCCTACCCCTTCGGGGATAAAAGGCGTGATGTTATGTTATGTATGTATTCTCCAATAGTCTAAGAATTGTTGAAATCGATACAATATGTTAGGAGACTATTCAATCCAAAACAAACAGCAATAAAATCTTTCTGCTTGATAATATTATTGTAGACAAGTAAGAAAATAAACAAACTGCTACATTTTGCCAAATAGGTCGTATATCGAGTACGTATATGTGTTATAGCAAAACACAATCCTTTGAAATATGCATCGATGCTTCTTCGCGCATCCTCAAAGCATCAGACGAGAATATTTCAACCATAACCTAGATTTTAAAACTGAACTCAAAAGAACTAAGATGGCTGCCAAACAGTATAAAGTTCTCGTTCATTATGGCTGAAACATTTCCAAAGTGCATATCTTGTTACAGTAATGAAAACTTTAAAGTGTTTCATTCAGCTTGATTTTATTGATGTTACGGTGAAGTTTTACGTGTTTACCCTGTTAAATAGAATTACTGTGAATTTAGGAAAGATTTTGGAATTTGAATTATACTTTATCGAATGATGAATTTTGAAAGGTTTTATTTATAATTTAAACTGTTTGAGTTGTGATTTTTATTGTTATTCATTTACATTATAATTAATATTTTTTTTCCTTTAAAACTTTGACATTTGATTTTGTATTGATTGATTGTAGATTTTGGTATTGTCTGCATAATGATTGATTTAGTACGCCATAAATGGCAAAACATGTAGACTCTATAACCAGAAAAACACCTTCATTGTAATTACTCATGTTTTACTACTACTAAAGAATATATCTCTATCTCTATAATATTGAGTTATAATTAGATTCAGGCCTTAAACTTTTAGTAGAAGTTTATCATACAAAAACCATGATAAAAACATTTACATGTACATTAAGTATGTATGTACATCAACCACAAAACAAATACAATTAACAAATCTCAATACACAAGCTCAAATATCCGATAAGCCCCGATAACGTCAATATAAACACAATACCTATAAAAAGGGGTCAAAAAGCCTTAATTGAGAGGTATCGTAATCCATCATGGCCGCCAGATGATCGATGACTTAGGTACTTAGGAGGTCCCTTAATAACGGCATGTTTCGTGACCAGAAATATTCGTAAACATGTAATCAGTTTAGTTGGATCTCGATGCCAAGTTTCAGTGCCGGTTTAACTTTATGATTTATTGGTTAAACTAACGGTAAGGATTTACTACTGTTCAAAACAATGCGTTGAAAGTCACATAACAATGGTTATAATTTATTGTCTGTATGGTTGCCTTTAGTTTTTGGCTACGACACAGATGATGCCATATTTATTGAAATCTATCCACCATCCTGTTTCAAACGAAAAAATTAATATGTTCTTTAATTTTAACCTATACTAGGACTTTTTTCTATGCCGTTGTTACATCGGTGCATATCTCGGTGCATATACAAATATACAAATTCAGACACACATCCATTTCGTGTTCGATTTTTAAATTTATTTTTATATATGATGGGCAGACGTTTGAAAGCTAGCTCGCCTGGTGGTAAGCGATGATGCTGTCTACGATGGAGCACGTCGGCCCATAAGCAACCTATTCACTCGGGCCTTGAAGACACACTGGTTATAAAAAAAAAATTGTGGGTTTCCGATAACCTCGCTCACACGGCGAAACACAACGCAAATGTGGTTTCAAGCCGGTTTCGTTTGTGCTACTGTTGTATTACTCCGGTCAAACTGACCTATTCGTGAAACAAAGAGCCTAGTGTAATGTTTATAGATAATGTAATGATACTTTAGAGGTTTACTCGTTCAGTAGACTTTATAGACGCCATCAAACATAAATGAAGAGTCTAGTGCTAGGAATGAAGGGATAGAAACGAAACTAGACGACTACGTACGACGGTCTTTTATACCCAGTAAGTAGGAATGTTATGTCTCGCTGTAATACTTGTTGTAAACCTTAAAAATGCCTCATTTTGTCTGCCCCTAGAGACGTCCGTAGTCAGTCATGGTCATGATATAGTAGATTTAAGTAGTATTTAAATGTTCATATTTGTTTTAAGTATCTACATATGATGTACAATAAAATTATACATATTAATTATTATGTTTTCGGCTTATTCACGTAACTTTTTGACGAGGAACTCGACTACTTTCATGAGCAGCATTTTGTGACACGCAATGCGGCGACTGTCGCGCTACTACTGAGTATAAGTTTCTATCATGGCCTGAAACTAGTCGAGTTCCTCGTCAAACAGTTACATGAGTAAGCCGAAAACATAATAATTAATTTAATATGTCTCACGAAAGTCATAATATGTTTGTTATTTTATTCGATATTGCTCATTCCAAGGTGTAGATTTTTAGAGAAGAACGAGCAAAAAACTCCATAGGATACTCTTTTTGAATCAGGTTCACAATACAATTCTCTAGTTACATAGTTTTGTTGTTTGGATTGTGCGAGAACAATGTTATACTAAAATCTAGTCAAAGAGATCTAGCCATTATGAAGTGAACATGTACTTATGGCTTTATCGAATGAAATGACTGATCATTAAATATTGATCTTATGAATCAAAGTTAATAGGTCTTAACATATAGGTACCAGCAATAACGTTTAAGTAATATTACATCTGCTCTGCCTCTTTGGCCGAGTGGTCGATTCCCGGGTCGGGCAAAGTATTACTGGGTTTTTAAATATTCTCAGTAGTAGCACGGAGTCTGGAAATGTGCCCGGTATATGGCAATAGGCTTACCCTCTATTACATGGGACTCATAACATAAATAGTGAAAAGTGGGTGTTACATTGTACAGTGGTATAATGTGCACCTCTGCCTACCCTTTCGGGGATAAAAGGCGTGATGTTATGTATATATGTTAATATTACATCATATTTTTGAAAAAATAACCTACTAAAAGTGTCCCTCCAATATACGCACTGAATCGTAAATTGCAGTACAAAAACAGCGCGCAATTTGTTCGCAAGCTGAAACTGATCGCTCGCCGATTTGTCAGCGGCGACAAATACATACGAACATACGGGGAAATATTGCATGCTGAGCGTTTCTCATTGTCACAGCTGTTTACATATTCAAAAGGGAAAAATCAATAAGTTACAGCACGAACACAAGGACAGGACGCCCACAATACAAGTTCTTCAAGTATTCTTCCGAAGTGTTTGTGTAACTTACAACTTACGGTGGTGCTACCTTTAATATAGGCAGGTACTATGGTTTATGTTTGAAAGTGAAAGTCAGGAATGAACGGTATATTCTTTTTTGTTGATTTTCTTAGTATGAGAGAGATAACAATTTTCAGTAAGAGCGTAGTATCTTTATTTTTGTTTATACTCACTACAATTGGTAGAAACTAAGTTGACGGTGCATCTGATCTTATACGACGATCCTACTTGGATCCTACATGGTTGGTGTGGTGGCTGGGCAACCGGCTGCCGCTCTACTCGCGACACATGGGTTCGATTCCCGCACGGAGCAACTCTTTGTGTAACCCACAAATTGTTGTTTTGTGTCTGGGTGTTATGTGTATGTGAACTTGTATGTAAAAGCACCCACGACACAGGAGATAATCTAGAGTGGGGCAACGTTTTTTCAAATTATGTAAACTTTTTCTTTTATTTTTAATTTGCATGTGCAAAAGTGTGATATGTGATTAATTCAACTACCTATCTATAACCCTGATTCGATTTCAAACAAGAACCCTAATTCTCATGTTCAGAGATAAACAAATGACGAAAACACGTGTCACACCCGCGCAAACATAAGAAAGTAATCAAATAAACATTAAAATGCAGTTACCATTGTCATCACCCGGCTTCCAAAACCACTAAACGCAGAGTCACCAGCAGATCCAGCTACACCTTACTGTCAAATTCCGTTATTCAATTTTCAACTCTATCGTTTAATCATTAAGTCGAAAATCCGCGAAAACGTTTAATAAGTTGAAGTAGCTTAACATGCCGGCTACTCTACATACATAAGTGTTAGCTAAACAAATAATCGATTCATTTTGTCTCCAGACAAGATTCCAAGTCCAAGTCACTGTCCAGCCCGAAGGTCTCCCGTAAATACTTCACCAATTGGCGTCAGGCATGTGACAAGACGAAGGATAAGACCAAAGAACTGCTGAAGCGCTGGAGGACACTGCCAGAGTCTGAGGGAGCTGAATCTCCGATGCAGGCCCCAGGGAACAGCGAGGACGATAAGCATCGAGGGTGGAGTGTCCACGTTTGGAGTGAGTACTTCTATTATTTTACTTATTTAGGCTGCTAGTACCCACTGTATTTAGTAGAAGAATGTTTTTGTTTGCAGAAGTATACCATTTATACTGCAACTCGCTACTTCCGCGCGATTTCACACGCTCTGCTCAGCTCCTATTGGTCGTAGCGTGATGTTTTATAGCCTATAGCCATCCTCGATAAATGCGCTATCCAACACAAAATAAATTATTTAAATCAGAAAATATCTTAGTACTAGCACGGAGTCTGGAATTGTGCCCGGTATATGGCAATAGGCTCACCCCCTATTACATGGGACTCATAACATAAATAGTGAAAAGTGGGTGTTACATTGTACAGTGGCACTAAGCGCCGTAATGTGCTTCTACCTACCCCTTTGGAGATGAAAGGCGTGATGTTATGTTTCTTATGTCTTAAATCAGTATCTACAGTGTTAGAGAATAGACATCGTTGTGGACTATAGATATATTTATTTATTTAATTGTTCACAAAACTATAGTTTCAGTCTACGTACACTCCAAAATGAGTTTTATTATCTCTTCTATTAGGTACTTGGGAATAATAACATGGATGAAAATTGTTTGTATTGTACGGGAACATTTTCTTAATATGTTAATCATATACAACCTCTAGAGCGTAGTTTAAAAGGTCTAACCAGTTATAATTTGTATATATTGTTATACCCTAACGACCTCATATAGGCTGTATGGTCGTTGTTACAAACATACACCAAAAAGGTCAAGACATATTTAACATGGTTTCAACATACTCACAATCGGGTAGATGACAAATTTTTATTTTAATATCCGTCTGGTAGATTATTTAAAAACATTAGACGCGTATTTTTTATTTTCTTACGAATAGTTTCGAAGATATATTGATTTGAAATATCGCATGACGTCACTTTTTAATACGATTTATACTCGTACGTAGCTACCTCCCGCTCCTAAACTTTAATTCGTTTTATCTAAGTATTGTTTTCTTATACGACAAAATAAAAAAATACTTGTCTAAAATTTTTTTTATTACCTAACCGACGGACTAATTAGATTTCTAATTTTCATACCCTGTCATCATCCCTATTCATGTAGATGAAATATCATATGTATAAGATCGGCATTTGAATTAGTCCCTTACAATGACCACAAACCACCTTCTTACATGTTAAATTCCACAGTAATGAATTCTATAAAATAATATCTACACGAATAACAATAAATGTTCTCGTATTTTCTACACCAACGCCTAACAAATATGTCCTTAAAAATAACAAGGGATAATCCCCGCATATCGAAAACAGAGGCACAATTTACGGAGGCACTTGACTTCTAACAATCTATAACAGAAGAAATATTTACATTGAATATCCCCATTTACTTCAAAATGTATAACACTCAATGGTCCTTAAATAATCTATGCAAACCCTTTCGTATTCACATCAGACCTTCATTATTCTATCATAAAAGAAAACTACAGGATCTAAACCATATTTTTTATGGTAATGCCTATTTTATGGAGACGGCGCGGCACTCTAATCTTATAGGAAACCCTTCACAGTCTTCACTATTTTAAAAGACCAGGGTTTGTTGTTCCACGTATCATTGTGTCTTAGTGGTCATTCGTAAATATGAAGTCATTGATCGGTGACGGGACTGCAAACAACCATGCAGGGCTGATTTTTAGTCAGTAAGAGTGTGATAGCTCGCTTTCGTCTCACCCAAGGTAAGAGAAGTCATTGGATGATCCCCCCCCAACCCCTCAAAGACAATAATTGGTAATGAAGTTATCACCTCTCATTTGAAGCTGATCAATTTTGGAATTTTGTTCGTCAAGTTGTAATATGTAACAAACTATCCGTGAAACAACTACTCCAGTCTCTCTTCATAGTGAAGAGCTTCATAGTGTCCCACACAAAATGCAAAAACAATTTAGGTCATTTTGGGTGAACAAAACCCCAAACCACAGAACGAATTTCCGAGACAAAATTTCTAGAATATTCCTCTTTATTATTTCAGTAATTCCTGTTATAAAGGACAGAACGTGTTTTCCAAGCGCACTCTAAAATATACCACAATTTAATAGGAAGTAAGTTTTAAACGAAAGTGGAAACAACGTTAACATTAGTTTTAACTTTGGTCCCGGATTTTGTCACGGAATTTTAACTAATGCAATGAACCGATCTGAATTTGGAATTTTCTCTCACAATTACCTGATTTTCATTAGCTTTTTAACCGCCCTATTCCAGTTATGAGCTTTTTGCTTCTAAATGGGTGATTAAACTTACTTATCCAACTTTCTTCGATAAAAACCATTTAATATTTACACAGATAAAATTAAAATCAATCTGGTATTGATCTCCAAAATGCTGAACATTCTTAAAATTCATAAAAAATACGCCATTCTTATTCTGGACCATAGATATTAAATTTAGGATCGAACTCAAAGTCATAATCATTAATTATTTCAATTAGATCAGAAAGGCACTGTCGAATGTCAACAAAAATCTATAGAACATCCTAGACAAAACATATTCCAGCCTTGCCTTAGTCTACATAGGTAGACTAGGCATAAGCCTTAGGGAAGACACGAGCATGACGTATTTGTGGTTTGTCGAGACAATGCAACGAGCATCGAAATCCATTTAGTGGTTGAATCTAAGATTAGTTCGCTATAGTATCGACGTGCCTATAGCCAGAGTATGTGAATCATGTATAGAGGTATATATATGTATACAGATATGACTGCCTCGTTGGCCGAGTGGTCGCAAGTGCTACTGCCGGGCAAGGGTCTCGGGTTCAATGCCCGGGTCGGACAAAGTATTACTGGGTTATTAAAAAAATGACAGTAGTAGTACGGAGTCTGAAATTGTGCCCGGTATATGGCAATAGGCTCCCCTATTACATGGGACTAATAACATAAATAGTGAAAAGTGGGTGTTACTTCTGTGCACACCTCTGCCTACCCCATCGGGGATAAAAGGCGTGATGTTATGTTATGTTATGTATAGATGTCTAAACTACAGAAACTAATTCATTATTATATACACATTTTTCCTCATGGCCTCGCCAATGAAAAAAGAATCATGATTAGAAAAACTATTTAATAAGAAATCCTTTAAAAAAATAGCAGCGTTATCCATTGTTGATGAGAGATACATATTTTGGAAATAACGCATTATACAATTTCTTTGTGAAGATAATAGAACACACCCTGTAAAAAACAGTTTGTCAAAAATCAGTTTTCTGAAGTTTACATGATATCTAAACAAAAAAAAACACATCAAATCTTCATTCAATTTTGACGAGAAAGAAGGACAAACAAACACACTATCACATTAATAAATGATGTCTTCAATTTACCTTCTAAGCTGTACCTACACTTATTCCATTGTACGCCAAATACACACCTTTTGTTTCACAAAATAACGAATATAAAGACTAAAATCTTCACGTATTTTGAATTTTTCACGTAAAATAAAAGCGTCTGGAAATCATATTTCTTTTTGTTGAAGATAAGAAACGTGGAATGTATGAATTTACATGTCTTATGAGGCTTACACGGCAGAGCTACGTTTGGTAACAAATCAAGTATGAAACAATCTAGTTTTGTTTGACATTTACAAATGGAAATCTGTAAGCTATTTATGGCCAGCGTTTCAAAATATGACGAAAAAATTATTTATTTTAAAAAAGAACATTGCATTCATTTTTTTTTTGTTTTTTGAGAGGTAAAATCATCCAATGACTTCTCCCGCTACGGTCAGGGCGAAAGGGAGTGTCAGACTCTTACTGACTAAATACCACCCCGTTCCTTCTCCTGCACGTCGAGCCGGAACCCCGGTAACCCGTTAGGTTCTCCGCGGCTCCAAATCGGCATCGGCCTTGTTGGGCTCCATCTGTGCTGGTATGATGGCTCTTTGAGGCGCGCGCGGAACGCGACGCGCCGTACGCTCGGGTCTGATTGCCCCCACCCTAGGACTTTCTCTTTACCTACATACAACCTATCTTTACTGATATATTATCAAGACAAACGTGCGCACGTTTCTTTGTTTTTCTTTCTTTCACATCACAACGGAATGATAGCATGATATATATCATCATCATCAACAGACTGAAGACGTCAACTGCTGGACCAAGGCCTCCCTCATTTTCTTTTATATTAGACGGGACTGACGTTTGACCACTATCTCGCCTGGTGGTAAACGATGATGTAGCCTATGATGGAGAACGTCGACCCATAAGCAACCTTAGTCCTCCACGTCGAACGACAACTCGCCACCTGCATCTACTGGCTTCCCTCAACTCTGTATGTAGAAAATCTTTAGGGAGGCTGGACAATCTTATAGTTTCGTTTCTATTCTTGTAATTACACGGGTGAAGCCGCGTGTACTACCACGAGTACTGAAATAAAACGTGCCCTTTGATCGTGAACTTTGAAGACTTTTTCCTTTTACGCTCTGGATTACTAAACAAAGCAAATATATGATAACGTATTTTCATTTCTTTATATTTTCTACTACATATTGTATAGAATATACTTTACTTTATTGTTTCAAACGGTTTAAGTATATACGTTTTTCTTGTACTATTGTTTTATGATCTCTTGGGAATCGTGAAATAACGAATCTTACAAACGTACGGTACCTATCTAAAATAATATCTGTAGCTGGCAATTGTTTTTATTTGTCTGTAAATGATTTCTTTTGTTCTAGTTAGTGTTTATTTATTTATCCACGCAATTGTAGTCGATGGATTTATCTTTCGGTATAAATATAACATCGTGTTTTAAATCCCAAAGGAATATATTTGGTTGATTGACAGAAGTAATGTAACACCCAATGGGTGGTTTTAGAAAACCTTTGAATATAACCATTGAAGAAAACACCATAATGCTAGGTATATTTAGGTACATTTTTAAATAACACTGACCATACACTACTTGCGTTAGATGTTTTTCAAAATTCCATACTGTATACTACATGCCTTTACCTACCCAC